TTGCGGAGCGCGTCGGTTCCCGCGGACGCCGTAGCATGAATCGTATTACAGTTATCAGACATGAAATTCATTGAGGTGACTTGGGAATTTTGGGTACGAGTGGGTCCCCAGCAGCCGCACGGATTGTTTTTTCGAGGTTGTCTCCTCTAGGGCCTTGGCTCAATAGCCTTACCACAAGGCAGCGGTGGCAAGCGAACTTATTTGGAGGCGGTTTACGCTCGTCATGTCACAGCGCCCTCGTCAGGCTTTGCGACACTTTATAGATTTTTGGCTTGCAAAGCCTCAGCCCGCCGAGCCCTGGTAGCACTGCCACTGCTTGTCCTCGACTGCTTATTCGTCAGACATGAGAGTCCGCTTATTTCACAGCTAACTTTCACTGAAGGTCGTTCGACTATTCGCCAACTTTGGACGCGCCGGGTAGCCAACAGCTAGGCTAACGGGTAACCCACCTTCCCGGGGTAACTCGCCTTCCTAAGACCTATCTGAGACAATGAACGCACCTGTTTCCTTCATCAGTGATCGTTCGTTCTTCCCTTTAATAAAATTTTGCAATGCACAAGTTGCGACCATCTCCTTTGTTGCAGGATCTGCAGCTGTGAAAAGCCAGTTTTTTAAATAACCTGTTGCTTCCTATTTGTCGTACCTTTGTAATTCATATCAACGCACTAAACTTAGCATGTATGATATCATTAGTGTTATGCATTATGTCAGGTGAACAGCCTATCTCGTGTACAAATTAAGTGGTTCAAACATTCTCTACTGTAACGCACGTACTGGCCGCACCATTGCAAATGGCGCATCTCCAGCCATTACGGTCTTCTGGATGTTCTGTTGTCGAATAATGGCTCCCAATTTACCTTATCGACCTTTGAGGATTTCTGCCGCCAACAGCATATCCTGTATCTTTGCTCCCTACCCTAGCATCCCCAATTGAACGGTCAGGCGGATCGTTTGGTTGGTTCACTCATATGCGTCTCTTGAGTGCTCGTGAGAAGGAGACTATGGAAGAGATACTCCAGGCATTCCTGTTTTTCTACAACACTACCACTAACGCGGCGTCTTCTGGTGGTGTCTCGCTTGCCGAAGACTTAATGGGCCGGACACTTCGAACGAAGTTCCATGCACTGTTGCCTAATAATCTGCCGTCCTCACAGTCAGTTTCAACTGTCTCTCGCGGCAAGCTCTCCACCGGAATATTTGTTATCGTTCGTCACTCCCGAAAATAACTGAAGCGACAGTATGCTCGGTGATGGCACCTGGGTTCGTCACCACAATCATATCCGACGGCGGTAGTGAAGAAATACAACCGGACTTGAATCACGCGCTTCACTCACTCTCGACATCCTGCTGGACACCTTTGCAATTGCAGCAGACCAGTCAGTTACCGAACTGACTGCTGCAAA